TTAAAGTAAACAAAGGAAGTCGCTCATTTCAAAGGACAGTAAGACTTGGCAGCCTGCGAACTGTAGAGGTCCTTAAAAAAATTCACTGGTCAGAACATTACTTTTTAGAGTCCAAGATTAAGTAGGCTCCATACAAACTTTGTCAACCAATTAGCCTTCTGAGTTAAAAAGTAGCATATTTAAGCACTTTAAATGGCCACAAGGGAAGAAATAGCGCAATAAGTTTTGTATGAGATTTTGGCAAGTAAAATGGAGAATATCAAATGCAAGTCAAGCTACAGATTGGATGAAACAAAAGCCGTATAATAAAGCTACGTTAGCCTCTGTAACTCATTCCGAGTGCAGGTATCTACACATAATACAAGAAAATAAATATGCTACTGCCTGTTTAACAAGTTGACATCACAAGCATTTCAAGCAAAGATTCCTCCAAAACTTTAACTGTTCCTTTAATGAGATAGTCTATAGCTGGTAGTCATTACCATTAGGTTACAGTTAATATTATCAAATGACTTTGTAGTAAGGTGCTTAAGCGACTTGCACAAATTTTATATAGATTGAAGTGTATCTCTCACTTGTATTGGTTCTACTGTTCACTTTTAATGGCCAAAGAATATACTATGACTTTAACGGTAAGGCTATATATTCCGGTTGAATGATTGCATGACGTTCTTATTTGGTGAATTTAATCGGCCTCAACACGCGATTACCCGATTGCCTATGAGCCTAAAGGGAGGATGTAAACATGTTGACGGTTGCTTTAAGACACCCTTATAGGGTTATAAATGGATTCCGAGACTGATGCTAGCCTCACATCAAGAAATACTAGACTGTATTTCGTTAAGAAGGTAGATTGTTTAGACGGTAAGGATCTTACATTTACAACATCTGCTTAAGGAGCACGTTTTCCACTTCTGAACAGGCCGCGCATGGATAATGAATTACGATTTCCAGAAAAAGTGATTTTGAGAGAAGCACTTGTATTAATCACCTGTCTGCATAGTTATGCGTATTTGTCCAAAAGGAAACAGACAAATCAAATGGATGATATTATTATGCATAACTGGATTAATTTGAATATATGCTATTGACAGAAAAGCAAAATGGATGAATTTGGGTATGATCGAGAGAGAAAACAATATATTCCAGGTAATTAAATTGATGATGAGAAAGTACAGAGCGAATATGAATGGAAAGAAAGTGTGGAAAGGCTCACCTTTAGACGTGCAGAAGACGCCACCAAGGGTTACACGTTTCTCAACGCCCTCGGCGATCACCCTCACTCCACGTCGGACCATGTCAGTTACTGTAACAGCTTCACGTGTCTCACTCAAGCCACTAAAGTCAGCATTGTCGCTACTACATGCCAAGCTGTTACGATGAGCCACCGCCTTGGCAGTGATATTCAGTTGTCCAAATCGCAGTGGACGGATGGGTATGAGGAATGTTTGTTTCAGGTCTCCTACACATATGCACTCAGTGAAGGCAGTAGCACCAATCGCCCGCCAGTCCCGCAAACCCGTTTCCAGGCTCACTTCTACCTCGTAGCATATTCGCTGGGTACTGATTCCTGGCTTATGGGCTGTTATCGTCGTAGTCGTTTTCGTAATTGCAGTCGACCTTGTTGTAGTCGTAGGATAAACAAAGACACTGACAGGCAGGTGCAGCACCTCTCCTCGTCGCGCCATCAGAGGTGGTGTGAAATCCACGAAGAAAGGCATCTGAACTGTCAATTTTGGCTTCTCTATAGGCATCCACAGACCTTTTTTGGCCGTAATACATACGGCATTGGTCTCCCATGTGGTGAGAGTGTCAGGTACGATAAGCGACTTTGTGAGGCTTCCGCCGATCAGCTTCACTGTTTCAAACAGCCATACTTCGGGAAAAAAATCTCTAATTAGTGGAATTGTATCCTGAGTTGGTTTTTGGTAATGACTGGTGTCGCTTTCCTTGCGATTTTGTCGCCCTGGGTCGGGAGGACCCATGGGACCAATGGGTCCCAGGAAAGGTATCTTACGGGGTGCGTGCGTGGAGTAAAATACCCATGGGCAATACCTTGGCGTATACATAGAACTTTTCGGCGATAACAAAACGAAGTCCATTCCTGCTGCTCGGTAGGCATCTTTGGTGCTTTGAACTATTACCTTTCGATGGTACATTTGGTTGCTTTTAAGTAGAGCAGTAAAAGTATTTAAGTCAATTCTGCGAAAGATTGCTGAATTAAATTGTTTTGACGAAACATCTATCATACTAAGAAGACATGTAGTTTCAACAGCGTCATCAGTCTCCTCCCCTAGTAATATTTTTAAGGAGAAGCTAACGTTCTCTCGAGGAACAACATATTGCTTGTCAAGTTGTAGCCCTCCCTTACGCTCAGTCCAAGCTATTGCTGGCGAGGAGCATGCTTGAAGACCAGCTATTTCAACAAAGTCCGAGGCCATTTCTTTGCCTCTGAATACAGTTGCTACGGCACGAAATGTGGGTCCAAAATCTCCATCAAGTTCAAGAGTAGCTATATATTTGAAAATTGCTTTTCGTAGGGTACCATCTACAAATTTTTGTCTTTCTGAATCCGACAGAATTTTAAGAAAATGAACTTTTCCGTCCTTTATGTGTTCGTTATCATCGTAGACAGGTGGTTGACAATTAACTCCCCTCCAGCCTTCACAACAATGGATTTTAACCTCCCAATTACGCCAGAAGTGATTAAATCCATATTCCTGTATATCATATGAATAATCCGCCTCCAGTTTGAGTGTTCGTGTCATGAGTTGGCCCCGCGAAAGAAATTGCAGCATTAAAGTTGCGTTGTTGGCTAGGGCTTTGTTTGAACGTACTTGGAACATTACAATTCCAGGACAAGTTACGTTGTTACTATTCATGATAATGACCTGTATCGCGAATCCTCTTTCATTATCCCACAGTTCCAGTCGTTTTGCTGCTTCTAAATTCAAAAAAGATGGTTGTCGAGGCAGCCAAAATGGGTTACGCTGGTTTGCACCGATTGGAGGCATAAAATCTTTGCGTTGATTTTGGTCTCTGTGCACTCCTTTAGCAGTCACGAGAATTGGATTTTTAAGATTCAAAGGTGGGATAGTAAAGTCATAAGTATCTATTCCTGGCTTGACAGCGACTTTGGTAATGGTGGTGAATGTATCCTTTTTGGATCTCCAGTAATAGTCGCATTTATCAGGGATCTCACGCACAACCACTTCCACCTTATCATCT